TACGCACAATTAAAATTCAGTCTTCTGCAACCATGCATTTTCGGTTTCATGTTTTTCTATGCTTTGGGCTTAGCGCTAGATCTAAAGCGAGTGTCATTCTAACTGATATTACGGCAGTTTTCTCCATGTTTGGTTGATAATTAAAAGTTCCTAGGACATTCCGGCTGGATGTTGGCTCATGATGCTAAGTTTATGAAATGATCCTTTGAGCCCCTGTTCGTGCATAGCACTTTTACAATTTTATCTTATATTCGTATAAGAGTAGGGTTTCGAGACTACCAGTAAATCAGTGTAATGAGATTTATTCACCCTATTTCGTGTAAGCTTATGATGGACTGGTATTAGAATTTTCCCACAATGATATGAGTTGAGCTGACGTTTCCATTGAATTTCACATAGCCTTGCTTTTCCAAAAGTTGTTCTCATCCAGGGTGGACTGCAGTTTCGACCTCGCATCAGTCTTATCAACACCCTCAGCGGGAGTCGAACCGCGATAGTGCAGGATGGAAGCTTGACACGCTAATCACTCGGCTACACTGTCTCGAAACCCTACTCTTATACGAATATAAGTAATGTAGCCGATTGTTATAGCAAACATACGTTTGCTTCATCGTCACTCCTACCAAAAGAATATGATATAGCAGAGGCCTGACCTTCCTTGAAATTCTCTTATGCCCTGTGAGTCAAGGGTATTCGTGGCAGTGTAGCCGAGTGGTTAGCGTGTCAAGCTTCCATCCTGCACTGCCACGGTTCGACTCTCGCTGAGGGTGTTGATAAGACCGATGCGAGGTCGAAACTTCAGTCCACCCTAGATGAGAAGAACTTTTGGTAAAGCAAGGCTATGTGAAATTCAATGGAAACGTCAGCTCAACTCATATCTTTGTGGGAATATTCTACTACCAATCCTTCATCACCTTACACGAAATAGGGTGAATACATCTCATTAATCTTATCTTACCCTGAATTTGTCAGGATGCACGATTACTAGTCTGTCTGCACCCTTATTTCAAGCTAGAATCGCTTAAGTCTCTATCTTAGCTCTGACTTATCTCGAAGTTTCGTACAGCCGATCAAGAAGAACAATCTAAAGTTAATCTCGTCACTTGATAATTTTGAGCTGTGGTAAAAATTATTGCATCTCTCCTGGAATTTTTGAAATAGTCTCACCGGAACTCTAGGAGAGAAGTCTGTTGGAATGTCCTAACAGGTTATCGGATCACCATCTTGCGACACCGATGAACATGTGATAAGTTACGTGTATACCGTCGTGATAGACTTCAGCAGAGCAAGAATACATACTTTACTAAATAGCGCATAATCGTCTGATTATCAATTTGCTTCATAAAGTTATAGAACTATCTTATCGAAAACTTTAAAGTTATGGAAAATCGCTTTAACTGAGTATAAACAAAACGTGACATTTTATGCACTACATTATCTCTATTGTTCACAATAATCCAGTGGTATTCCTTCCTAAGCTTTTGGGAGTCTAGCATCTCGCTGGAATTCATTAAGGTCTTGAATAGATTTTTCATTTTTCGTTATCTGCTTTCCTTTCCTTTCACTTCATCAGATATGGATGGTTTCCTTGAGCTAATTATTATATCCAAATTTTAAGTTTCTTATGTTTTTTTCTTACCTGCAGAATAACATTGTCATACAATATATCCGCTACTCCTTGATCTTAAGAAAGTCTTTTTAACCAAGAGCCCTCTACAAGATATTTCTGAGTGTGATTTTAATTCTAGTTAATGAGTGCATTGATGGGATTCTTTATTTGGCTTCGCCTGAGGCTGTAGATGATTCATCGGGGTCACAGCTTCAATTTAATCCCCTACAGCTTACAATGAGGCCAACTTACCAATCTCTTCCACTCGCCTCTTTAAACAAAATGAAATGTACCCCAATATCAATTAATCGGAGTGTTGCCCAGATGTCCTTCTCAGACCTTTAATGTAAGTTGTGTTTGGAACGGCCTTTCAGTTTAAGAACGAGGATTTTTTTCTAACTAGTCTGCTTTGAGGATGGTTTTCTTTTTGACTCATCTTAACTAGCCCTACATCTCATTTGTCACTTATATGTCTCTGCACAGTGGAAGCTTTCCCGCACTTTCCGCCTTACCCTTCAGTGGAATCGTAGCATAGGCTTTTTCTAGATGGTAGCATATTTCAAAACTATCCTTAATTCCCGAACAAGCTCTTATTATATTTTTCGCATCAGTTTGGGTTGTTGGACGGAAATCGCTTAGAGAGAGAGAGCAAGGGGGTGTTATAATTGAAGTAGAAGTTGACTAGGGGTATACCTCCACACTAAAGAGTCCAAACTAGGCCAAATCTAGAGGCCCTTGAGTACAAGGGACAGGGTTTGGGTGTGATCATTGGGTTAGAAGAATTCAGAAACCAAGGTGACCTAAAAAGGCGCTCAGAAATGAGAACTGACCTCTTGGAAAACTGTCCTTGTTCAGGCTAGTCTACTTGTTCCATGATACCTTGGTTGATGGTCATATTAATAAATACTCGTATTCAACATTTGTTGGACTGAATTGAGATATTAGAGCTAGCCAGTTAAATAGGGGATGGCAAACCTATAATTAAACCTCAAGGAAGCGTCTTAGTGAAACAAACACTGTTATGATATATTGTAGCCCTGCAGACTGGATGCAGCTGGAGGAGCTGATTACTCCTAATTAAACCCACTTAAAGGGCCGCGCGGAAGAAATTTGGACTGTGTAAAGTTCGCAAGGTCTCCTTTTTGTCCTGAACAAGTTACGAAAACGAAGTCACCTCAACTTTATGCTGTCAGTCGATCTGTTTAAATTGATAATTTGGGTTAATTTGCTTTATTCAATCTGGTTGATGTGTCCAAGCGATCAGAGTATATGATCCCTTCTTAGTATTTAGCTCTCATAATTATTGCACTCGTCTCTGATTGGGAGCTGACGAAATCGAACCATTTATTCTCGGTGTGCTGAGAAAGTTAGGGTAAAATGTCTCAATTTTCCGCCTGGGAGGTGTCCAGAGGCTTAAAGCAGACTTCCTTAGGTGCTGTATATTTTTATTGATTTGCTTTAATGCTTCATTTTTTATTACTCTCGCTCGTCTTAATAAACTGCCTGCCAAAGGCGCTCGTAATACAGTCAGTATGGCTATTAATAACTGCACTATTCTCATTTTTTATTTCTAAGTTGGTAAGCTAACAGTGGGCATTACCATTTGGCTTGTGAGATAACCTTAGCCTCAACTACATTCACAGTAGTCAGTAAATTGATGCTATATCCTCTTTATAATTTAAGAAGCGTCGGTTAAGATGAATATTCAAAAATATATTTATTTTGATGCCATCCATTCTTTTCCCAAATTGAAAATACGAGGTCAAACCAACAACTTTTGCTTTATCTCTCTGAACGTAAACTAATAAAATATTAATACTTTTCTAAATAAATTAAATAGTTAAATCAAACTAACAAGACATTTATATGTCCTTAAAACTGCGAATTTACATCCTTGTTTCTTCTCCAATGTTTTCTTTTTTCATTCGTCAATTTAGACACTTCTATTAATGCTTTCACGTCCAGACTTCTCGCGCTTATATGCCTCTTTGCAAAGCATAATCTCACAAGCTATAACTGGCCTCAGTCCTGCCAGCAACCTTCCTGCCTCGTCACTTATGACCCAGCCATCACTCGGACCTGATTCACCATCTCTTTTTCTGGCTATGGAAGCGGCTCATTTACCCTTGAGTCAGTACACTCTGATGCTGGCCTGGAGACCCCTCGAGCTGCTTCCTCCACCTCCTGAATACCTATTGCACCTACGCACTTGGCTTTGCCGACTGGCTCAGCTGGCTTGGGGCCCTCATCGGCTGCAGGCCCAAGTGCCACTTGGCCTACAAGGTCGAAACCTTTCAGAAACAACTGAAAATAACCCAGAATCTTCCCCAATCACTTCTAGTATAGGACAAAGTAATTTTATCTGTCTTGCTATCTGGCTCGATCGACTACAAGGCACATATCAGCTGCTCAATCCTGATGAAATGAGTAGGCATACGCTTTGCATTTAGATTCGTTTTTCGCATTTTTAAATTCATAATTATCTATAATTACCTAGTCTTCACCTCATATCTTCGCTTTTTACTCTAATTGATACAGTTAATCCACTTCGATTAATAATTTATTTGTCAATATTTATATCGGCAGGAAGACCTAGAGTAACTCACCATGCCCAGAGTCCATAGTATGCATGATTATTTCCAGAGTCGGACCGTGGACTGGGTACATTCCAAGACGTCTTAGCCGGTATCGTAGTCGGCATCCTCACTGAGCCTTGCCATTGTTAGCACGGCATCACAACTCGTCAAAGAGACAAGTCAAGTCAATCCTTTAAAAAATTGTCTTTTAAGAAGTTGTGTTATTTCTCCTTTCCTGTGGTATTTAAATATCCTATATCTTACTATTACTCCTTCACTATCACTATTTCTTGTTTATCTAAACCTAGTTGAGACCATTTCACACTTCCCACTAGTTCCCACATCCATCCACTGTATTGGGAGTGTTTATTTAAGAATGCAGTTTAGTCCTAAATCCTTTCCTTTAGGTCCTATCATAGTCTCCCTCTTGCCCCGTCCCTTATCTTTATGGTTCAGTCATTTCATTACATCGCTGTCACCGGATCCCTGCTACTTGAGGCGTTATGTTCTAAACTCTCAATCAAGTCTTTGATGGCACGTATACGCCAGCTTCACTGAGCAGGCCCCTAATGTCTGAATTCTTAAATAGCATGGAAACATAAATTGATGCTGCTGATTCCCTTATCACTATGCGGCATGTGCACCGACTAAATCTCGTTTTCAAGCCTTTACTTCATGGACCAGTTCTTTAATCAAACTACTATGGTCAATTATCAATGGTCTCCACCGTATCTATTGCTCTTCTATCCATAATGCCAAGTCCATGGCGCCCTACCATAATTATAACTATTTGTAAGTAAGAGTTAAAGGTAAATAAAACTCATTATTTTTTTCACTTTATTGAAATTAAATTAATATTTAATAATTAATGTGATGGATGAGCCTACAAATCAATGCACATTTTCTCAACTTGAAGCTTTTACAATATTTCGCAGTGCCCCTGTAAAGAGGCCGCGGCTCCCCGGGGCGCCGCGGTGCACAGTTTGGGAATCACTGCCCTAGTCTCTTATGTGCCGACCCCAAATGTGAAAGATATACTCGATTTAAATAGGTTCGCTGTATACGTCTCCTGGTTTCCTATTGTTCCTCTGGTATTTTTGTAATTTATTTTACTCTAAGTCTTCCTACCAATATGACCAAGTGGCGAAAACAAGGTCAAACAACTTCTATACAACGAAAGGAGACTGCGACCACACATAAGGCCACACCATCTTGATCTTCATACCTTCAAATAAAAATATTACCTTTGTCTAGTCATATTTTTTGCTGATCTTGCTGTTTTCTGACCGTCTCAAGTTTGCTTAGGCAGTATGCGAAATTTTTGCAATCCTGCCTTCTTTAAGTCTTCTTTTCATTAGATTTTTTCCGTCGTGATATCGATGGCTTCCTGTATCTTGCGTTTTATCATATTTTAATCATATGCATCCAGCATTTTCTATTTTCAGTCGATTCCGTGTCCAGTCCGTGCAATGTGCTCCGCTATTTCGGATCCTTTCGTTTCCATGGTTCTGCATAGCCTTTGTTCCTTGATTTATAGGCTGATTTTTCTTGCTGGTTCACCAATATACTTCTGATCACATTTGCCGCATTTGATGTGATAAACTTCTGAGTAATCCAGTTCATCAATCTCCTCGTCTTGCGCCGGCAGACTGGTGAAAAGTATTATACTCTCATTTGTTATAAACTTGATATTAAATCTTCTTAGTAACGGTTGCAATCTTTGCTTCAGTTCATAGGAGGACAGGCATGCTCACTTTTGGCCTTCTTTCCTATTCTTGATCTTATTTTCATAAAATCCTAGTTGAAATCCGCTTTTTATGACCCCTATATTTCTTACTGTAAATTCCCTGGGGTACCCGTTAATAACGCAAATCCGAATTTCTCTGTCCAACTCCTCGTCCTAGAACTGATTGTACTTTAATCCTGTGCTTCTGATGATCAATCTCGTTATTTCGATTTTCAGTCTCTAGTTATGAGGATACTGAAAATTGAGGCTTATTCCTGCATGTGTTTTTCTTCTGAAGTCTCATGAGTATCAATTTAGAACGAATGACCTCAACATACAGGAAAGATAGTCGCTCATTTTCCTCTACCTTCATTGTGAAATTAATCGGTTCATCAGGTTGCTTCATTAAGTTGAAGAATTCGTTCAAATTTTTTCACCTTGTGACCAAAATGCAAAGTGGTCATTCAGGTATCGCATAAGCACTCTTGTTCGCAGCGGTGAATTCTTGAAATCCTTTTTCGATTTGTCCATCTATACATTTACTAAAAGAGGTGAGAATGGAGATCCCATGGGTAATCAAAAAGTTTGCTTATAAATGCTGCCGTTAAATTAAAATAGGTTGTCCTTACTGTCAGATTGAACAGTCCTATTGAAATGGTCTCAATTAGGTTTAGATTAACGAGTAAGAAATTGTGCTATTGAAGGGGTGATACCGGGATATAGGAT